ATTTTTTCCTGATGAAAGAAGAGAGTCTACTCTTTCTTTTGGTGTGTTCGGTGTTTACATAGTCATAGCACAAACTATTCTGTGGCTCTTGAAAAATCTGTCAAAATGCTCAAAAAACTCTGGCAGTGAGCGACTCTCTGTTCTGAAAATGGCTGGCAGTCAATGAGTTAAAGAAGAAGAAAGTAGATTATGAACCAGCTTTAATCAGACCCAGAAGGCAGAAGTATCTAGAACATTTCTCCCTCTGTTCCTCTAACAGGATCCAACATCCAGCTGTGGGAGCAGCTAACATCTGTCTGCTGCTCTGCCTCCAGAGTGTGTTTTAATTCAGCCCAAATGCCAACAAAGCCTCCTGTTTCCAGCTTTGTTGTCTTTTATCAGACACCACGGATACTCAGAGACATGAGATAAATTAAGAAAACGTTCAAAGTTTTACGGTTATCTTTCAGGGTGCTAAAGGACTTGCTCAGCCTCCTCTGTAAAAATGTCCCAGAGGTGAATTTTTTCCTAAAAAAATAAGAAAGTTTGGACCAACTTTAAGCAGACTGAACAGGACAGACTGACCCTGAGCTGGAGGTCTAAAAGACGGCCTCCTGGATGATGAATGTTGCAAAAATTTGTGAATATGAGCGTAGTTTTTTAGCAAGAACCTTCTCGGTGACTAAGAAATGGAGCAATACTGACCTTAAAAAGCCTCGGAAACACATCTGTAGGCTGCCCTCTGACCACAAACAGCCTGGAGTTCAGCTTCTTCAGACTGCTGTCCAGGTCCTCCAGAGACTCCAGAAGAAACCTGCACACAGACACCAGGAAGCAAAGGGCTCAGCGAGAAAAGCGTCTAAAAGATTCACACTCATAAAGGCATTTGTTGGAGAAAGGCTGGTTTGATGGTGGCACAGGGTTGTTTCAGGATTTTTAAACCAATCATTGCAGTTGAAAATGAAAGATTAAAGAAAAACTCATTTAAATTCTCCATCTGAACACAACTTATTTTTCCCCCAAATGTTTTAGGAACTCACAGCTTGTTGCTCAGCTTGTTTTTGCCTTCAAAGTTTCCTATTTTTTTATATTTTCTGTCACAAACACTTGAGATAAAGATCGTCTAGCTGCTTGAATGCAATATAGAAATAAATGAGGGCAGTTTTTTTTTTTTTTTTTACCAGTAAGCCCCTTCAGATTTACAAATGTGTTTCCAACTCAGACATTCATGTTAACTGTGAAGTCCTTCTTGTTCTTAGACAAAAGTGCATTCTTCTTTTTGTTTTACTAATAGTAAAGGTGACATCATTAGAGAACATATTCTGAGCTCACACGGGCCCATATGATTCTCACGCCCCCATGCTCCACTGTTTACATCTCATAACAACAAAGGCTCATCTCTCCCTGAACGTGAAAACTTTGGTCGTTCAAACTGTACTTTCCAAGAATATTTTTAACCTTTTCGAAGTATAATATAGATAACAGGAACGTTATGGGATAAAATCAAAATAAATGTGGCTTTTATCATAACTATCTTCAACCGAGCTAAAGGAAATAATGAAATTGGTTATGTTTAAGCAAGATACTTTATTTTTTGCCTGTTTTAGACGAATAAAACGTATGCCGAAGTAACAGCAACATAGTTAATTATCATTTTTCTTTTAAATGTCTTTTGTGTGGACATACACACATAAGATTAGGAGGAGAAACCGTTAAATTATACGTTTATCCTATGAAGCTCTTCACGGAGCTAGCTAGCTTTAAACTAACTGTCACGTAGCGGAGGCCGGAACCTAAAAAATCGACAAATGGCGACCGGATACAGGTGGATTCAAATTAAATCAACTCTGTTTGGTGCTTGGACGGTAGACTAAAAAGGTGTCGGTTTCGCTACACACCTCCATCGGTTGATCCCGACGTTAGCCGCCCCGGCGAACCAGGGGTCCAGGACGTAAACACACCGCACCGAGTCGGCCCCGCTCAGGGCCTCCAGCAGCGCCGGATTATCGTGCAGCCGCAGGCCCTTACGAAACCAGTGCACGGAATTCACCACCATAACTCCTCAGTGAGCCACCATGAGCGTAAAATCCACGGTTCCAAGCGAATAAAACCACAAAAAAAACACTTTAAAAATGGACGTCCGCTCGCTCTACCTCAAACTTGGCTCGCTGTGAAGTGACAGCCAACGGTAGGGGGCGTGGCCAACGGGTGGGCGTGTGTAAAACGCTCGACGATTGGTCAGGTGTGCTGACGTCATGATGAATTACAAAACAGGAGGCCTGTGATTGGTGGATCTGCGGAGCGGCAACAGTAAGGTGGCAGTCCGGGTCACGTTTCTTTCTGGGACCGGGCCTTCCGTTCAGCCCCCCAAACAATATACAAAAGTCAGTCTACACTAGCCAACATGCACTTTTAACATGCATGTTTTAAATTAGTATTTATTATCTAGTATTCTAGTCCTTTTTAGTACTAATATGTTGTGTGTAATGTCTTAAGCTTAAATCCACATGAACATGAGTTCAACAGACTATAGTAAACATATCTATCTATCTATCTATCTATCTATCTATCTATCTATCTATCTATCTATCTATCTATCTATCTATCTATCTATCTACCTAAATGTGACCTTTTATCAAAATTAACATGCATAAATCTAACCAGAGTGCATGGAACAAATGTTTAATTCAAATGGTCATGAACCTATAAATGGTCAGTCACTTCCAATGGATTTTCTGTATAATAGCCCTTTAATTTATAAAGAATAATAATAATAATAAAAACAATTCTTTAGGACCAGTTACAAACAACTGTGTGACTTTGAGCACACAATCATCTTCAGATTATGGCCAGATACCATTAGCAGAGCAGAATTAGAGTCTTTGTTTTTGCCTCCATACAAACTGGCTATCTATCTATCTATCTATCTATCTATCTATCTATCTATCTATCTA